CTGGCTTTGAACCACAATCCTCAGATCTCAGCCTCCAGAGTAGCTAGGATTACAGGCGTGAGCCACCAGCGCCCGGCCAGCCACAGTTCTGAGTTTGCAAAGAACATCCTCTCTTGGCTGCCATACCCAAGCAGGCCAAGAGTTTAGAGCCAGGCTCTTGATCTTGCTAATGTCCCTCACTTTATCAATTTTTTGTTGTCCTTGAATAATATATTTCTTCAGCTAGGTATTTTCAGAGCAATTGCAGTATAAGAACTGAATTGGTGTGAAAATTTTTTCTTTTGGTTTGGTTTTTTTCTTTTTTCTTTTTACCAGTCCTGGGTCTTGAACTCAGGGCCTGGGCACCATCCCTGAGCTTCTTTTGCTCAAGGCTAGCACTCTACCTTAAGCTTTTTCTGTGTATGTGGTACTGAGGAATTGAACCCAGGGCTTCATGCATGCTAGGCAAACACTTTACCACTAAGCTACCTTCCCAGCCCTGGTTTGAAGGTTTTCAAATTGTGATTTCCTTGCATGTAGATTTTTTTTTTTGACAATACTAGGATTTGAATTCAGGGCCTCCAAACTTGTTAGGCAGGTACTCTATTGCTCTAGCTTCCTTCCCAGACATGCACCTGGACAATGATTCATCTCTCTTCCTGTCATAACTTAGATAATGAGCATGCTACAGGCCCTAGCTTCTTCCATTAAAATGTAATCTCATGGGCTTTATTCTCCAGACCAGCCTAGAACCCTGATTCTCCCCATCTCAGCCTCCCAAGTAGCCGAGATGACATGTGCACACTACAGCACCCAGCCATTGGTTGAGAAAGGGGGTCTTGTGAAATTTTCTGCCCAGGCTGGCTTTGAATCATAGTTGTCCTAATCCAAGCTTCCCAAGTAGCCAGGATGACAGACAGGAACTACAGATAGCAGGTACGGCTTTCCTAACGTAATAGGAATCACAGAGAAGTAAATGCTGACGGAAGGCACCCTCACTGCACGGGCCACTGCAGCCTGGCTCACAGCAGTAAGGAGCCCCCGAGTAAAGGGCGCTTCAGGGGACGCTCCTCTTCCCCTCTGAAAATCTGACCTGGAGCCTGGAACACAGCAAAATAGGTTCCATTCAACGGGGTCTCTGTTCTCTGACCCTGCATCCAGTATATAAAATGCAAAGCCAAGTGAAGAGTGTCCACGTCATCTTCTGAGAAGAGCCAGCCCCCCAAGGCCCAGGCCCAGGAGGCAGCGGCTGCCTCTCTCCACCAAGTGTCTCCCTTTGTGCGAACGCTAAAGGTAGAAACAATCATTTTGTTGCTCCTTTAATTTATGACAAATGACACAATGACACTCAGCCTGAACAAATTAGACCCTTTTGGTGAGGAGGTAATCAAATCCTTATGATTTTAATCCCTTGAGCAATACTTGAAGCAGCTTAAGTCTCTCCGAGCCCCCGGGAGAATCCTCTGCATGCCGGAGAAACGTCCGCCGTAATGGCAGAGTGCTGATGCTTTTTATTACCACTGTGCCGTTAAGTAGAATCCCTCCGTTGTGTTTAGAGACTCAACAGTTTCATTTAATTGCCTTAATGTTTCTTCATTTGCACTCCCAGGATCTGTACGGAGGGCCAGGGTGTTAGTGCACTCAAGTGGCACAGCCTCTGCCCTTTTGTAATGAGCTAGCCTGGGACTGCCCTGACCACAAAGGGAATGTAATATTCCAATCCAAGAAGGGCAGAGTCCTGGGAGGGGGCTCTGTGTGGAGCCGGGCACCCCCTGTTCCCCTCCGGCTGACAGATAGTCTTACCCGGGGCTGTGCAGTTAAATAGGAGACTAAAGTCACACAACCATGCCAGGATGCTGGTGGGCTTGGGCCGTGCCTCGTGCAGGGTGAAACTCGGGTGAGAACTTCCCTGTGGTCCAGAGGCAATGGAACAATCACGCTCCAGCCCAGTGGAGATCCCCCCCCTGGGGAGCGTGTGGAGCCCGCCCACTGCCTGCCCCGCAGGAGCGCTTATTGAAATCCACTAAGGAACCCACCCTGGACAAAGCTTTCCTGCTGAAATTGGGGGCTCTCCGTGAACATTTTTGTTGACTATTTTTAAATTGTTCTGGGAAAGTTTTCTTACCTTCTCTGGGAAGGAAAAAGATATGGTAGAATTTAAGTGCTCTGAAATGAACTATTCCTCATGTAATAGTTTTTCAAATTCCTTTTTTTTTTTCTCTCTCTCTCTCTAATAACAGTAGTGGGGTTTGAATCCAGGGCCTCCATTGCTAGGTTACCACTTGAGCCACACCCCAAATTCTTTTTACCTTAGTTATTTTCCAGATAGGGCCTGCAGTTTTATCTGGACTGTGAGCCTCCTATTTATGCTTTCAGCATAGGCAAGCACATACCACCCCATGATGGATTTTTCATCTGGGTGAGCCTCGAACCCCAGTCTTTCTGATGCCCACCTCCCCGAACCCTTCTTGCTTTGTTTTTCAGCTAGTTTTGCCTGTGAGAACCTGGACCTAAGTCTTATTATTAAGCCACTGCTCCTGGTTTTTTTGTTTGGTTTTGTTTTTTTGGCAGTTTCAATTTTTAGCCTAGGCTGGCCTCAAACTTGCAATCCTCCTGCCTCAGCCTCTGAGTGCTTAGGGATATAGAAATGTACCAACAGATTTACATCTTTTTTTTTTTTTTTTTGGTCAGTCATGGGGCTAGAACTCAGGGCCTGAATGCTGTCCCTGAACTTTCCTGCTCTACCACTTTGAGATAAGTCTCACAGAAAGAAGTTGGATGTGGCTCACATCTGTAACCCTAGCTACTCAGGATGCTGAGATCTGAGGATTGCAGTTCAAAGCCATCCTAGGTAGGAAAGTCTATAAGACTCTTATCTCCAATTAATCACCAGAAAACCAGAAGAAGCACTGTAGCTCAAAGTGGTAGAGTGCTAGTCTTAAGTGTAAGACCTTAGGAACAGTAGCCCACCAGAAAACAACAACAAAAAAGAGTCTCACTTTCCTGCCCCACCTGACTTTGAACCGCGATCCTCAGATCTCAGCCTCGTGAATTGCTAAGATTACAGGCATGAGCCACCAGTGCCTAGCCAGATTTCCATCTTAAATGTCTGTCTTGATCTGCTGCATCCACCAGCCCCTTCCTATGCCAATAGCAGAGGAAAACAGGAACACAACTCCCATGATTCTCCACATCAAATCACTTTTGTGTTCAAAGATCAAAACCAGTGGAGACAAGAAAAAAGATAACATTCTATCTCTCCCTTTAAACATGTTTTTATAGGAATAATTTCTGGATATTTTCTTCACTGTTTTTCATGTTCTAAAGATTTTGGAGCCTTCAGGTTTTAGCAGTAATTTCTTCTGCATTCCTTCCATACCGTTCTCTTTACTGACTGATATTATGCAAGATTTTTAAACACCTGGCCAAGACACCTATAATTTATATTCATTATACTTTCCACTTCATGTGCATTGTTGAAATGGCAGCCAAAGCATCTTGAAATACTGACTCTGTTCTTACGGATTGTAGTTGAATATATTTTGCATGGTTTTTGTAAGACTTTTATGTTAATGGTTCATTGGTGAATTAATTTTAGGCCTTGTTATTTTTTCCTATCTCATATTATCTTTAATGTTCTCATGTATAGAGCCTGTTTATTTCTGAGTTTTTTGGTTGGTTGGTTGGTTTGGTTTTTGGGTTTTGGGGTTTTTTTCTGTCTGAAGAAAAGACTACAAGAACTCCAAAGATAGCCTGTGCCTTCTTAAGACATAAAAGTGCTGGTAGAATACCATTATTAGTTCTCATGGCAGGAAGATCTCTGTTTAATGGATCTGCCCACTCTGTACATTTAGAATGCACAATCTTGCATTTCACATGCACAACCACAGAAATGATTGAAAAAACAGCCTTTCTTAATTATTTCCTGCACCAGCTATGTTCACAACTCTATATTGTTGGACTATTCAAATCAGAGAGCTAGGGGGCTGGGAAGATGACTCAGTGGTCGAGTGCTTGCCTTGCATGCATGAGGCCTTGGCTTCGATTCTCAGCACCACATAAGCAGAAAAGGCCGGTAGAGGCACTGTGGCTTAAGTGGTAGAGTGCTAGCCTTGAGCTGAATTGCTGAGGGACAGTGTCCAGGCAGAATTCAGGCCCCACAACAGACCAAAAGTAAAACAAAAAGCCCACAGAGCTAAAAAGTGCTTACTCCTATAATGCTAACTGTTCAGGAGGCTGAGATATGAGGATTCCTGGTTCAAAGCCAGCCTGGGCAGAAAGGTCCATGAAACCCTTAGTGTAAGGTCAGTCCTGGATGGTGAGCAGACTCCTCTGTCCTTGAGGACCAAGTCTCTGCCCAGAAGCTGTGTTACCTAGGCAACTGGCACACCTGGGAGAGGTTACATCTGCATCTGCTGAGGTCACATCTGGATCTGATAATGGCCACATCTTTTTCCCACCTGGTCCCATGTCCTCTTACCTGGTCCCACTTCCCTTTACCTGGCCCACCTTCTCCCGTACCTACCTTAGATAAGGCATGGCCCAGGTCTAGACTCTCCCTTCCTAGCCAGTGGAGTGCCAACCTAGCCTGGTGCCAGCCAGTCCGCTGAATAAACCTATCCCTTACCTGAATACCATGTGCATGGTGTTCTTACTCAGCAGCCTCTTTAAATATCTAACACTTAGCTCCAATGGAATCGCAAAAAAGCTGAGACAGTGCCCAGGCCCTGAGTTCAAGCCCCGGTAGAGCACCAGAAAGGGAGGGGAGGGAGGAAGGAAGGAAAGACTTGCAAATTTATCATTCAAGCAGTGCATGTCGGTTTGTTTAAAGGTTTCTCACACACAGCAGTTCTGCATCTAAGAGAACTGATTCTGGTGAGACATATTCTCTTCCGGGCTGTCCTGGACCAATTCCTGCTCTCACTCGACTGTTTCCCTGAGGACATGGTGATGATTGTGCCCCAGGCACTGTGATTTATCTAGCCTCTGTGTAAGAATTAACTTGTGTTCTTGACTTGCAGAAAGAAGCAGAAGTAAAAGAGAGATCTGTTTTTGACATCCCTATATTTACTGAGGAATTTCTGAATCACAGCAAAGGTGATTACTGGAGTATTTTTTTATGTCCTTGGGTCTTGGGTCTTTGCCGGGGATGTATTTCTCAGGAGTCTCTCACCCCCATGCGGGGGTAATCCTAGCCTTCCTTAGGACTTTTCTGGAAGAATTGCTGCTTTTCCACTCTTTAGTAAAGGCCCCGGGACCAAGGAAAGAAATCCAAGCCAGTATTGTCAAAGTTCCTTTGGTCTCAGCACTTAAAAAAACGCATAAGTGACAAATGCGATTGCTTTTAGATGCATAGCCTGGAACCCTCTGAACAAATGCAAGCTTACCTGGGACTCCAAAGTATAGAAAGTAATTGCAGAGCTGGTCCCCAGGAGGCATGGATGGACGCGCGTGGCTGTGCCTGGCCAGCCTCCCAGGGTCCCCTGCGGAGCCCTCGGGCTCCTTGGGGCACAGAGCTAACAAACCCAAAATGCTGGGAATTGCCACTATTGGTTGCAATCATAGAGAATTAAAACAGCTCTGGGGAGCCAGGCGTTTCATCGCTGAAATTGCTATCTGGAGTGCCGTAATGAGAATCCGAAGATGAGGTGGGAGAGCTAATGAGAGACGCTCAGCAGAACTTCCTTGGAAGAGTGAGTCACCGGGTCTCCTCCGAGGCCCCCTCCTCACGCTGCCTGGTTCTGGGGGGTGGGGGGACCTGTGTGTCCTCAGCGCGCGAGGCGGAGCTCCGCCAGCTTCGCAAGTCCAACATGGAGTTCGAGGAGAGGAACGCGGCCCTACAGAAGCACGTGGAGAGCATGCGCACGGCCGTGGAGAAGCTGGAAGGGGATGTGGTCCAGGAGCGGGGCCGTAACGCGGTCCTACAGCAGCACCTGGAGAGCCTGCGGCAGGTGCTGGCCAGCAGCTTCGCCAGCATGCCCCTGCCTGGTAAGGTGGGAGGGGGAGCTGGGGGAGGGGGACAGCATGCCCCTGCCTGGTAAGGTGGGAGGGGGAGCTAGGGGAGGGGGACAGCAGGCCCAGCCGGGTAAGGGGAGCACTGTACCCCATGTCCCCTCTATTCAAAGGGAAGGAAAACAGGCACAGGGGCTTAGAGCCTGTTTGGAGAATGGTCAGAGCAGAAAGTTGCCGCCTTCCTCGCATTCAGCTGCTTTCATTTTGTTTCTTTGTTGCCTGAAAGTCTTTCCTGTAAAATTAAAATATTTGTGGAGCAAACCACTTTAGAGTCCACTTCTCCTTCTGTGGGTTCCCTGGAATATTTTAGGGTTGAACTGAATGGGAAAGAAAGCGTCTCTCTCTCCCTCTCTCCCTCTCTCCCTCCCCCTCCCTTCCTCCTCATTTCAGGAAGTGGAGAGACTCCCACCCTGGACACCATTGACTCTTACATGAACAGACTGCACAGCATTATTTTAGCAAATCCCCAAGACAATGAAAACTTCATCGCCACTGTCCGAGAGGTGGTGAGCAGGCTGGACCGTTAGGACCGGTGAGTGTTCCTGGTGGGTCCTGCACCGGCCCCCGTCCTCATCCTCATGCTGTGGGTCCACTGAGTCCCAGGCTTTCACTCCCTGAGTGGAGACAGGGGTTAGATTTCTATTATGTGGTTACTGAAGATCAAATAATGTGTGTGTTTGTGTGTGTGTGCGCGCACGCACGCGCAACACACACGCGCGTGCACTCTAGTATTAATACCAGGGCTTGAAGTCCTGTGTGCTGTCTCTGAGCTTTTTCACTCAAGGCTAGCACTCTACCATTTGAGCCACAGCTCCACTTCTGGCTCTTTGGTGATTAATTGGCGATAAGAGTCTCACAGACTTTGCTGTCTGGGCTGGTTTTGAACCAGGATCCTCAAAGCTCAGCCTCCTGAATAGCTAAAGGTGACAGGTGTAAGCCACCAACACTCAGCAAAATCTTTCTAAAGAATACTAGAAAAACAGTTTTATCTCACTTAGGCGTCTTAATGGTAATGGAAGAACAGGAGTTTGTGGTTGGTTAGACTTCAGTTCTTGCTTTGACATTTTCAGGTGTTAGGTTCCAAAATGGGGTTTGAAGACCGGGTAAGAAATTTAGAAGAAACCATACCCAACCAGTTGTCAGAACAAAATAAATACCACTTAATTGTGAATGTTTCTTTTCCTTGGTGAATATCCATAATGACTTACAGGGGGTCAGTGAGAAGTGGGCAGGGGAGAGGCACCTGTATAAGTAAGCATTTAATTTATCACTCCATAACAGAGTGGTTATTGCATGTTAAATGGTGGTGTGAACACTTGATGCCCTGGCTCTATGAATAAGCAGTAACTAAATAAGAAAAAGCTTTTTTAAAAATATATCCCTCAAGCTGGGCACCGGTGGCTCATGCCTATAATCTAACTACTCAGGAGGCTGAGATATGAAGATTGAGGTTCAAAGCCAGCCTGGACAGGAAAGTCTGTGAGACTCTTATCTCCAGTGATCACCAGAAAACCAGAAGTGGCAGTGTGGCTCCAATTCTTGTAGAGCTCCTGCCTTGAGCAAAAAAGATCAGGGACAGCAGCTGAGTCCTGAATCCAAGCCCCAAGACTGGCAGGTAGATTAGATAGAGAGAGAGACAGAGACAGACAGAGACAGATGATTTTCTCAAAGAGGAAAGAGAGATCTTCCCTTGCCGATTTTTTGGCCATAATGGTCATCAGATAACATTTCTTAGAGCCAGTGTTTGTTCACTGAAATTCCTAGAGACAAGGTGCTCTTTCAGGATGCCATCCCCAAAACTAGCAGCCCTGGGGTCTATGATTAAGTTGCCTGCAGATGCATGAAGTGTTGAAGAGTCTTGAGAGTGAGGCTGTGCAGTGTAGCAGCCTCGGGGAAGGCCGGAGCCTACAGCAGGGGATACCTTCAAAGCATCCTGAGTTGGAGTCTTTTTGTCCTGCAGGCCTAAGTGTATACATAATTGATATTCTAGCTTGGGTTGGACTTTGCACAGCATGTATAAGAATAAATCCCTGACTTGAGCTGGGAAGGTGGCTCAGTGGTAGAGTGCTTGCCTTGCATGCATGAAGCCCTGGGTTCGATTCCTTAGTACCACATACACAGAAAAGGCCAGAAGTGGCACTGTGGCTCAAGTGGTAGAGTGCTACCCTTGAGCAAAAGAGGCCCAGGGACAGTCCCCAGGCCCTGAGTTCAAGCCCCAGGACTGGCAAAAAAAAAAAGCTGGTGCTGGTGGCTCACGCCTGTCATCCTAGCTACTTAGGAGGCTGAGATCTGAGGATTGCGGTTCAAAGCCAGCCCGGGCAGGAAAGGCCGTGAAACTCTTATCTCCGATAAATCACCAGAAAACTGTAAGTGGCGCTGTATAGCTCAAGAGCATTCACCTTGAGCTGAAGAGCTGAGGGACAGCACTCAAGCCCAGAGTTCAAGCCCCACGACCGACAAAAAAAAAAAAAAATCCCTGACTTGTTATGTGTGATGACAAAAGGAAATCTTTGGCCTTCAGGGCCTGCCTTTGGATGGCCACTGCTCTACTTGGTTCATGATGCTTAGCTCTAGCCATGCCGAGTGGGCTCAGGCCTCCAGCTCCAATAGCATGCAGCCAGATGGAGTAGAAGGTACTTCAATGGCTGTGCTCCCCGTAGGCCAGAGGAGTGGTACTGCTGCTGCTGCAGCAGCCACCAAAAGAGAACAGCTTGTAAATCCAAGCCTGGGATTTCCAGGAGCTCGTCATCCTTCTCATCTTCACACAGTGTTTTCAATTAGCACTCTTGTTTGCTTGAAAGGAGAGAGCGGGGAGAGCCAGCATGGAGGAGGCGAAAGCAAACAGTCATTGATGGGCCACGGTCTCACCTCCTGTGCACGGGGCAGCGCGGACTGTGGCTTTCCATTTGAAGCCTTTGCCAATAAGCTCTAGGCATTCGCTTAGAGCTCTGTCTTAAGGGTAAGGGTCTAAAAACTGGAGCTCGCAGAAGGGCCATAGACAAGCGAGGAATATTACCATTACCCTTGATTCTACTCTACAAAAAAAAAATACCTGGAAATGCTAGCTGCTGTTACTACAGCTTCTTGCAACCAGCATAGCTAGGCACAGCCAGTTCCCCCGCGCCGCCCCGCCACTGTCAAATGAAACAATTATAAAGGTTGTGATTAATACTAGCCTGGCTTCATTATACAAATATGTACGGACAGCTAGGCCTGATGTCCCCAGCACTCGTGGTGCAATTAATTTCCCTGACACGAGCTTGGCAGAGCTTTCACTCTTCTGTCAGGAACCAGGGAGGAAGGGAGGGAGGGAGGGGAGCTCC